TGTGACTCGAGTTTGGACTTGGAGTCAGTGTGACTCGAGTTTGGACTTGGAGTCATTGTGACTCGAGTTTGGACTTGGAGTCATTGTGACTCGAGTTTGGACTTGGAGTCATTGTGACTCGAGTTTGGACTTGGAGTCAGTGTGACTCGAGTTTGGACTTGGAGTCAGTGTGACTCGAGTTTGGACTTGGAGTCAGTGTGACTCGAGTTTGGACTTGGAGTCAGCGTGACTCGAGGCTCCTGACGACACTCGAGTCTCTGGAGGATTTCTCAAGTTTCTCGTGTCATTTTTCGGACCTGATGTTTGATCGTCTCTTTTTTCACAGTCGCAGGATTTTACACAAACGACTTGAAGCACAAACGACAAACAAAGTGATTTCACTTTTTAATGAAGTGAGTTTAAATAAAAACTGAGTCTGAGTCACTGTGAATCACATTTACACTTGATTCACTTGATCTTTGACTTTCTCTACAGTTTCGTCTTTGTTCTTCTCTGGACTCGACCTGAGTTTGATCTGGACTCAGGTCTGAGCTCAAAGACTCGACTGTTTTACTCAGACGTGTGTTTCCAGTGAGTCTGGCTTTAAGAGGATCAGTAGATTTATTCTATTCAGTTTATTTGTTGAAGTTTACGATTCTCCTCCTTTGTTCAAACACAAATGAATAAAAGCACTTTAATCTTCTCCTTTTCCTCTCCTTCTGTTGTTCTTCTGTTGTTCTTCTGTTGTTCTTCTGTTGTTCTTTTGCTGTTCTTCTGTTGTTCTTCTGTTGTTCTTTTGTTCTGTTGTTCTTCTGTTTGTTCTTCTGTTCTTCTTTGTTGTTCTTCTGTGTTCTTCTGTTGTTCTTCTGTTGTTCTTTTGTTCTGTTGTGTTCTTCTGTTTGTTCTTTGTGTTCTTTTGTTGTCTTTCTGTTGTTCTTTCTGTTGTTCTTCTGTTGTTCTTCTGTTGTTCTGTTTGTTCTCTGTTCTGTTCTTTTGTTGTTCTTCTGTTGTTCTTCTGTTGTTCTTCTGTTGTTTTCTTTGTTGTTCTTCTGTTGTTCTTTCTGTTGTTCTTTGTTGTTCTTCTGTTGTTCTTTTGTTGTTCTTCTGTTGTTCTTTTGTTGTTCTTCTGTTGTTCTTCTGTTGTTCTTTTGTTGTTCTTCTGTTGTTCTTTTGTTGTTCTTCTGTTGTTCTTCTTCTGTTGTTCTTCTGTTGTTCTTCTGTTGTTCTTCTGTTGTTCTTCTGTTGTTGTTCTTCTGTTGTTCTTTTGTTGTTCTTCTGTTGTTCTTCTGTTGTTCTTTGTTGTTCTTCTGTTGTTCTTTTTGTTGTTCTTTTGTTGTTCTTCTGTTGTTCTTTTGTTGTTCTTTCTGTTGTTCTTCTGTTGTTCTTTGTTGTTCTTTTGTTGTTTTCTGTTGTTCTGTTCTTCTGTTGTTCTTTTGTTGTTCTTCTGTTGTTCTTCTGTTGTTCTTCTGTTGTTCTTTCTTGTTTTCTTTTGTTGTTCTTCTTGTTGTTCTTTTGTTGTTCTTCTGTTGTTCTTTGTTGTTCTTTTGTTGTTCTTCTGTTGTTCTTCTGTTGTTCTTTTGTTGTTCTTTTGTTGTTCTTCTGTTGTTCTGTTGTTGTTCTTCTGTTGTTCTTTTGTTGTTCTTCTGTTGTTCTTCTGTTGTTGTTCTTCTGTTGTTCTTTTGTTGTTCTTCTGTTGTTCTTTTGTTGTTCTTTTGTTGTTCTTTGTTGTTCTTCTGTTGTTCTTTTGTTGTTCTTCTGTTCTTCTGTTTGTTCTTCTGTTGTTCTTTGTTGTTCTTTTGTTGTTCTTCTGTTGTTCTTTTGTTGTTCTTTTGTTGTTCTTCTGTTGTTCTTTTGTTGTTCTTCTGTTGTTCTTCTGTTGTTCTTTTGTTGTTCTTGTTGTTCTTCTGTTGTTCTTTTGTTGTTCTTTTGTTGTTCTTCTGTTGTTCTTTTGTTCTTTGTTGTTCTTTTGTTGTTCTTCTGTTGTTCTTCTGTTGTTCTTCTGTTGTTCTTTTGTTGTTCTTCTGTTGTTCTTTTGTTGTTCTTGGTTTATTGGGTTTAACTTCTTCTCTTGGGTTTAAGGACGTGGATTGAAAACTTCACTCTTAAATCTTAAATCTTAAACCTGCTGCAAAACTTTTTAAAGCCGAAGCCTCAACAGGAGCAGAACATCGACTGTTTCTTCAGTCGACTAAAGTTAAATCATATTAAAGACTTAAAACACTCGCAGGACTTGAAATATGTTTTTTTTGTGAACTCAAATTCACACGTTTTATAAAAAAAAAGGTAGAATTCGTTGACTCCAGAAATGATTATCTCCTAAACTGTTGCTGGAGCCGTGAACTTGGAAAATCTGTGCAGCAGGTTTGGTTCAGTCTGAGTCTGAGTCGGCAGGTGCACGAGTCTGGATTTTACAAAAAGATTCCTTCTGTTGTCCTACCTGTGCGTCTCCATGGTGACGGTCGGCTCCTGTCGGCTCCTGTCGGCTCCTGTCGGCTCCTGTGGGCTCCTGTCGGCTCCTGTGGGCTCCTGTCGGCTCCTGTCGGCTCCTGTGGGCTCCTGTCGGCTCCTGTCGGCTCCTGTCGGCTCCTGTGGGCTCCTGTGGGCTCCTGTCGGCTCCTGTCGGCTCCTGTGGCTCCTGTCGGGCTCCTGTCGGCTCCTGTGGGCTCCTGTCGGCTCCTGTGGGCTCCTGTGGGCTCCTGTGGGCTCCTGTGGGCTCCTGTCGGCTCCTGTCGGCTCCTGTGGGCTCCTGTCGGGCTCCTGTCGGCTCCTGTCGGCTCCTGTCGGCTCCTGTCGGCTCCGTGAGCAGGAGCGACTGCACCTGCCTCAGCTGAGTTCCTGCCGCACCTGCACTTCCTCATTCTTTGGGCGTTTCTCCAAAACCGGTTTAACTCTGACACACACAACACCTGACACACACAGCACCTGACACACACAGCACCTGACACACACAGCACTGACACACACACACCACATGACACACACAGCACCTGACACACACAGCACCTGACACACACAACTGACACACACACACCTGACACACACAACACCTGACACACACAGCACACTGACACACACAGCACACACTGACACACACACACACACACAGCACCTGACACACACACACACCTGACACACACACCTGACACACACAACCTGACACACACATGACACACACAACACTGACACACACAGACACACACAGACACACACATGACACACACAGCACACACAGACTGACACACACACCTGACACACACACATGACACCTGACACACACAACTGCACCTGACACACACACACACACTGACACCTGACACAGACACACACACACACGCACCTGACACACACAGACACACACACTGACACACACACACCTGACACACACAGCACTGACACACACAGCACCTGACACACACAGCACCTGACACACACACACACTGACACACACAGCACCTGACACACACAACACACTGACACACACACACCTGACACACACACTGACACACACACCTGACACACACAGCACCTGACACACACAACACTGACACACACACACACACTGACACACACACAACACTGACACACACACACACACACCACACACACTGACACACACACACTGACACACACACACCTGACACACACCTGACACACACACACCTGACACACACACCTGACACACACAACACCTGACACACACACACACACTGACACACACAACACCTGACACACACAACACACACACAGCACCTGACACACACAGCACCTGACACACACAACACCTGACACACACAACACCTGACACACACACACACACACAGCACCTGACACACAACACTGACACACACAGCACCTGACACACACAGCACCTGACACACACAACACCTGACACACACAGCACCTGACACACACAGCACCTGACACACACAACACCTGACACACACAACACCTGACACACACAGCACCTGACACACACAACACCTGACACACACACACACACACACCTGATGACACACACAACACATGACACACACAGCACCTGACACACACAGCACCTGACACACACACACACACTGACACACACAACACCTGACACACACAGACACTGACACACACACACACACAGCACTGACACACACAGCACTGACACACACAGCACACATGACAACACACAGACACACACACATGACACACACACACACAACACACAACACAACACCTGACACACAGGATAAACCAGGACTAAACCAGGTCTAAAGGTAACCAGGTAAACCAGGACTAAACCAGGACTAAACAGGACTAAACCAGGTCTAAACCAGGTCTAAACCAGAACTAAACCAGACTAAACCAGGACTACACAGGACTAAACCAGACTAAACCAGGTCTAAACCAAGTCTAAACCACGACTAAACCAGGACTAAACAGGACTAAACAGGTCTAAACCAGGTCTAACCAGGACTAAACCAGTAAACCAGGACTAATTCAAGGTCTAAACCTAAACCAGGACTAAACAGGACTAAACCAGGTTAAACCAGGTCTAAACCAGGACTAAACCAGACTAAACCAGAACTAAACCAGACTAAACCAGGACTAAACCAGAACTAAACCAGGTCTAAACCAGAACTAAACCAGATTAAACAGGTCTAAACCAGGTCTAAACCACGACTAAACCAGGACTAAACCAGGACTAACCAGACCAGGTCTAAACCAGGTCTAAACCAGGTCTAAAACAGGACAAACCAGGTCAAAACCAGGACTAAACCAGGTTCTAAACCAGGACTAAACAGGTCAGGACTAAACCAGGTCTAAACTAAACCAGGTCTAAACTAAACCAAACAGGTCTAAATCAGGACTAAACCCAGGTCTAACCAGGACTAAACCAGAACTAAACAGGACTAAACCAGGTAAACCAGGTCTAAACCAGGAACTAAACAGGTCTAAACAGGTTAAACAGGACTAAACCAGGTCTAAACCAGGAAACCAGGTCTAAACCAGGACTAAACCAGAAACCAGACTAAACCAGGTCTAAACCCAGGTCTAAACCAGGTAAACCAGTAAACCAGGTCTAAACCAGGACTAAACTAAACCAGGACTAAACCAGGACTAAACCAGGACTAAACAGGTAAAGGACTAACCAGGTCTAAACCAGGTAAACTAAACCAGGACTAAAGGTCTAAACCAGGACTAAACCAGGACTAAACCAGGTCTAAACCAGGTCTAAACCAGGACTAAACCAGGACTAAACCAGGACTAAACCAGGTCTAAACAGGACTAAACCAGGTCTAAACCAGGACTAAACCAGGACTAAACCAGGACCAGGTAAACCAGGACTAAACCAGGTCTAAACCAGGACTAAACCAGGTCTAAACCAGGTAAACCAGGTCTAAACCAGGTCTAAACCAGGACTAAACCAGGTCTAAACCAGGTCAAACCAGGACTAAACAGGTCTAAACCAGGTCTAAACCAGGACTAAACCAGGTCTAAACAGGTAAACCAGGAAACAGGACTAAACAGGTCAAACCAGGACTAAACCAGGTAAACCAGGAAACCAGGTAAACCAGGACTAAACCAGGTCTAAACCAGGTCTAAACCAGACTAAACCAGGTCTAAACCAGTAACCAGGTCTAACTAAACCAGGTCTAAACTAAACCAGGTCTAAACAGGATAAACTAAACAGGACTAAACCAGGTCTAAACCAGGTAAACTCTAAACCAGGTCTAAACCAGGACTAAACCAGGACTAAACCAGGTCTAAACCAGGACTAAACAGGACTAAACGGTCAAACCAGGACTAAACCAGGACTAAACCAGGTCTAAACCAGGTCTAAACCAGGTAAACCAGGACTAAACCAGGACTAAACCAGGACTAAACCAGGACTAAACCAGGTCTAAACCAGGTCTAAACCAGGTAAACTAAACCAGGACTAAACCAGGACTAAACCAGGTAAACCAGGACTAAACCAGGTCTAAACCAGGACTAAACCAGGACTAAACCAGGACTAAACCAGGTCTAAACCAGGTCTAAACCAGGACTAAACCAGGACTAAACCAGGTCTAAACCAGGTCTAAACCAGGACTAAACCAGGTCTAAACCAGGACTAATGTTGGATGAGAGAGAAAGAGAGAACCGCGATCCCGTGTAGCAGGTATTTGGTCTGTGCCATTAGAGCCGCAGAGTTTTACGTGCGCTGCTCTGACTCAATAAGAGAAACACACAGTAAATATAATTTCACCTCCAAACACTCGTTCTTTAACAACGAACCTGGTTGGACAGTTGCATAGTGACAAGGACGGGCAAGTCATTCTGCGCCTGTCATCCCAAACTCCAAAACCTGAGCTGCGTAAAGAGGATTCCCAGCCGTCATTTAGAATGCGTTTATTTTATCTTATCTTATCTTATTGATTGTTGAAGATGCACCACTGTAGGTCCTGGTTCAGGGACAGATGTGTAAGAATTGGAAACTTTTATGAATGGAGGTGACGGGGCATTTGGCTCAAGGCGCAATGATACGGCCAAGCAGAGAAACTACGAAAGACTGGATTATGAGACAATTTGGACATTTTTGTGAATGGACAGGAGCAGGAGACATTCATTACCTGTCGCACGAGAACCTGTGAAGCTCAGCGTGGTGTGAGAGTGAAGCGCAGTCAGAGGCACTAAAAGGATCAATGATTTAGGAATTTGGATATTTTCATGAATAAGAGCTAAAAGATGAGAATTCTACCTGGTCATGGAGGACAGAGCGGCTCACACACGGACCCGGACACGCGTGGGTCCCTCATAAACTCATAAAAGTTTATAAAGACTCATTCTCCTCGTGCGCACTTAAAGATGCAGACTTTTACGCACTCGTTAACCTGGCACCTCCACGCGCTCTCACCTGCAGGAGGTCATGCGGCCCCTCAGGTCATGCGGCCCCTCAGGTCATGCGGCCCCTCAGGTCATACGGCCCCTCAGGTCATACGGGCCCTCAGGTCATGGGCCCCTCAGGTCATGGGCCCCTCTCGTGCCAACAGAGCAGCGTGTGTAAAGCGTGTGTAACAATTTAGCAGATAGTTTTTGGTTTTTTTTACAAAATCACAGCTCTGGTTCTGTATTTCTCAATGGGAAAGACGATCAAACTTTAGTCACTTGTATCAGGTCCACAGTGAAACACACTTGTATTTACCTTCTGTACAGACTGACCACAGCAAACGCCAGGATTTGAAAAGTACATTTTAAAGCACTTTTATTAACAGTATTTCTAGAACTGGGCCATTTCACACAACACAGATCTGCCCCAGGTGCATGTTGTAATGATGGTAAACGCCCAAATACAACCACAGATTCATGTTCTCTGTGGATTTTGACGGGGATACGAGCCTACGCTTGTGTAGAGCCTCAAAAAATAGGATGGATCCTATTTTCTGAAATCTATGCGCGCAGGACGAGCTGCTCCATATGCGTGCCGCCCTCTTTCACTTTCCATGTATTCTAAAAGTAACGTCCAAAAGTTTCAGTTTTTACGCTCGCGTAAGGCAA